CCCAAAGCATCCCTGGGCCTTAATTTTACGAGAGAGTCCTCAGAATCTGAAAATCTAACTGAAATTTGACGATTAGTGTTGTGTTGGTAAACAGCTTTATGAATTGACCTATAACGTGTATGAATGAAAGAGGTTTCAAGCCATCTCCCCTGGTGATCTAGGGTGGAGTTTCTCAGGATATTTAATTTGATTTACAAATGGGCGCAACATTTGTCAATCAGACAACTTTCCCATCAGCATTGAGGGCTGGATGTAGCCAGGGAATGAGCAAAAATGAGCTATATGCTTGAGATCAAATGCTAGAGAGAAAACTTCCAGTGACAGTAAATAAGCTTCAGAGTTTGTTGCCAGTAAGTAGAAGGAAAAATAAGTTAGTTATGCTTACATGTTTGACATGCTGTGCCTGGTTCCCAAGGTAGCTTTCCATGAATGTGAAAATACCTCAGTATTTTTAAAGGCCCGAGAATACAGTTAATAGAAAGTTGACGTACACGAAGGCTAACCTCATGTTGCTGGCAGCCTATGACTTGAGATAATGTCTGTGATAGACATGATTCATTATGTTAGTCACAAAATTAAAGTGTAAGCACAAGCTAGCAGGAGTGAAAGAGCAAATTCATAAAGAAAAAGTGACATTGAAAAACAGTGATCAAAACTTGATCTTTGGGAATTTATATATTGGATTTAAAAGTCTGTAGCCAGGTGGAACACCAAATTTAAGCCTGCTTTTATAAACCATCCCACTTAGATGACTGTCATTTCATCATAAAAATTATCCATTCATTTCTTAAAATCAGCTTTGTTATCTGAGAATAAACTCTATCCGTGGGAACTACTGAGTTGTGTTTCATTTTCAGTAAATGATAGTTCTGTCTTTTATTAGTGTACCACTATGTTCAGTACCAGGTTTCAGAAGACTGAGAGGAAATTCACATGGGTGTTCCAGAGACGGGAACCAGCAAAAGGAATGCCAAAAGAAAGGAGGGTATACAGACAGGAAGGAACCAAACCCTCTGCTCCTAGACCAGAATACAGGCCACTTACTCAGATGCAGCAGAGACTACATGAAGAACCAGAACTATAGGATGGCAGCATTTTTGTGGAACCCCCACAGAACCTTGTAGCTAAGTGCTACAAAGTTAACAGGTCTTGAAAGTTGTTGCAGAGTAATACTCACATGTGATAACTGGGGAAGAAAGCAGCTCAAGAATTACTCACCAACGGATTGGTTTTCAACATGGAAAGCAAGCATGAATCTTTTTTTTTTTTTTTGTATTTGCTGTGCATTTAGCATGTTTATTTTGAAGGCTCTGAGTCATAAGTAAAACCAACGACTGTTACATTTGAACTATTTCTTGGTAACCCGACTTTGCATGGAGTTTCCTCAGTGTTTTCATCAACTCTAATTAGATTTAAAATAACAAACCTACTTCCCCACTCACATAATCATCAGCTGATGGTCACTGCAAATTAGTAAAGGCCAAATTTTGATTGTGAGAGGAAATAGATTAATAGAAAGTTATTTTAAAGGACTATATATTCTCTGTTTCTTTAAGAGAGAGGATTGAAAGCCATGAGAAGAAAAAAATAGTCTGACTCAGGATGTAGACTGGAGCACAAGCATTATCTTTTTAAATAGGACCTGGAACTTTTCAATATTTAGGATACTGGCATTTGTCCTCATAACCCCCAAATGAGATTTTTTTCTTTAAATTCAAGGACAGAATGAGTTATCCGAAAAGAGTGTACTCTCTGTTTAAAACTGCAAGTAGGGAGACATTTTAAATATTGAGAAGACAAAAATCTCTCCTGACAAATAAATGCCATGAAAAATTAGATATTAGCAATACCAAATGCTCTTTTCAGAATTATTAAAATTGAATATTAGAATCAAGGGATCCTTATCCTATACTCCCTCCTAATGTCACAAAAAATAGTGCTGTAGGAACCGTTTCATAGACAAAAAGCTATATGACATATCAGTTCTTCCCCTTATGGGAAATTTCTTTTTTCCTTAGCACCTCAGGTTCAATCATTTCTTAATGTGAAATTACAGATTTTTCAAATTACCATATAAAACGGCAAAAAAATTACACTTGTGACCACAGAAGAGATAGCATACACTATCAATTTGATTTTAAAAGGCATATATCTTTTATACTACCTGTCATTTTTATAATGCCTTTTACAAATTTAATCAATACATTTTAACATTCTATATACTTTAAGTGCAATATACAATAAATATTCAAGTTTCATCTTAAACATGCTTTAGCCTTTAAATTGTTGAAACTGCAGTGCCCTTTCAATCTACTTACATAATGTCATAAAATATACATTTCAAGGTAAATGAAGTCAGCTACTTCAATTTAGTCCCTCAAACTGGTAGTAAATGAGAGGTTAACACTATGGTGCCAAACCCATTATTGAGTAAATTTAGCACCTTGGACAGCTCTGTAAAATCTTTATTGCTTTCCTGACCTGCTCGTCATGTTCTGTCTGTGTGTTCAGTGGCTCTCAGCTCTGATTGAAAGGCAATATATTAGATCCCCAACACAAACACGCTCGGGGGCTAGTTCACTGGGAACGTAATGACATGGAGGTGAGAGCAATTTTCTAGTCACCGAAATCCAAGCACCTTGCAGGTTGTTGCACTAAGTCATGGAGGACCCAGAAAGACCCTTACTCCCATTTGCAGAAATAACTAGTCATTGTCAATGCTGTGCCAATATGGGTCTCCCTTCGACCTCAAAGTCGGCACACTGCAGTTAAAGGTGTTTTAAAATGGGAACAAAACAATTTAAGAGGATAGCTTCCAGGACAACAAGCCCAAGTTCAAGCTCATCACTTTCTAGACCACTGGCCAGAAGCAAGGCTTGGTGAGGTTGCACCCGTGGTGCTCGATGGAGGCCAAACATGTCCCGCTCTCACCGATCAAAAAAGGCAACATGGTGGGGGGAGGTCAGAGCAGGCTGCAACAGGAGACAAGATTCATGTGCCACCCTCTAAAGGAGCAAATGATCCCCAGCCCCTGGTACCAAAATACCTGGTTAATTATATCAGCAAAACTTCATTACCAATAACATAGAGGACAAGAATGTATGCTTTATACCTAAGGATGGAACTTTCCAGGTTTACCAAACTTCAAAGATCATTGAGTTAATTTTGAATTTCCATCTTCCCTGGTTTTGTGAAACTTAGTAAAGTGAGAACTATATTCTAAGTCCCTGATTATAGTGTTGCAGGGTGAACTTCGTGAGTGTAATGTTTTCTGTACCTTATTGTGTTTTCGACAAAGAGATGAACATAAACTCAGAGAAGTTACATCTTAGCAAATAAACTAACTGGATCCTGTTCTGTTTTAATCTTTCCTCAGAGCCTGATAAAGCGCTGAGGTTTTAGTGAAAGTGGAACATGCTGAATTTGATTTGAGGATAGGGTTTAACATACCCACATCATAGTAAATTGTTAACTGCTGTGGTCCGATAATACAGCAAACAAAAAGTAGTAAATTATCTTTTAGATTACATTAAGAAATAAAGAAATGATTTCAGGTATATTGGTTCAAATCCACTTAGTTATATAATGCCTTTCACTCTCTCCATGAAAAATTACTGAGTTGTTTTTTTAAGGGGGTCTGGCAGCATAAGGCAAGCAAATGTTTATTGAGAACTGGAAAACCCTCCATCTCATTTTTGAATTTAGGACATTATATATGTCATAAGTAGTTACTGCAGTATGACAACTGTTTCATCTTATATTATAGAGAATTTTAAATTGAAAAATGCTAATATGTATCTAAAAGCTTGTCATTTCAAGAGTTGTTCAAGGATTTTTGAAGAGGCTATGGTGACAGCAAAATGAACGCAATTATATCCCTATTTTCTGATCAGTGTCTGCAGTACATGAAAATTGAACAGCACCTCTTCTCCATGCAAGAACTTTACTGTGTAAAATATTTAAACTTTTACTTGAAAAAACTTTCCCAACAGCACAAAATAGTAAACAGATCTTCCTGTAAATCACTTCTGATAATCATATCCCTTCTTGGGGTTGACTCTGTGCTAAACTTTCATTTGTACATGCCTGAAGCTTAACTTTCCCTTCCTTTGCACATCCCAGCATAAACAACTCCTCAGATAATTAGGGCAAAAAACTTAGAATGATTGCTCTCTGTCTGGATGAAAAAAATTGCCACCAGCCCATGCACCTTTGTAACATACTGTATGTTATTAGAACTGTGGAAATTAAAAGTGGAGGAAGCCCAGCTGAACGAATAGAGGGAGATAGCTCCTCAGCCAGAATAAGCAGTAAAGAGTTTGTCTAGATAAGGAAGGAGCAAATGGGAGGAATGACAAACAATACTGAAATTGCAAAGAATTGTTATAAAAGAAACAGGTGCTGCCACGGGGGTGCTTCTGAGAGCAGGAGAGTTTTTAGGTAAGAGCCTTAGACAGTGTTTTGCCTCAATACATGAAGTAGCACCCCATTATATCGTAGCTCTGCAATACCAGAGAGATAAACAAAAGAAGTGTAATGCTACATGCTTCTAGTAGCTCAAGATTGATTGGAAATTCTTCAAAAATGACCTGTCTGATAAGGTCATGGGTCTTGAAATAAGCAATTAAGTGTAAAATAAACACATCTTATGGATTCATAACATGCACTGAATGGCATTGATTGGAGTAATCTAGTAAATGACCTCAGGATTGTATTCAGCAATAAACATATGAGTGCTTTATCGTGCCTATAGCGGACTAGTGAGTGATGTATTTTATCTTGCAATACCAATGATGCTCACCTTTGACTCGATTAAGTGTGTATGTGAACACGGATAAGTTGGTGATTTAGCACCATTCTGGGGATCCCCCAAGGTGCTGCTTTTATAGCTGTGCTTTGGCAAAGAATTGCCCGAAAGAATGGAACATGATCATGTGAAGAGATCGTGACAACCTGCCTTCACTCAGAGGACTGTATTTTTTTTTTTTTCCTCTTGACAGGAAGTGATACTCAAAAGGGCTGCAGATCTGGTGGAAGCCCTGTATGGGATGCCCCATAACAACCAGGTGAGCGTTCTGGCTCTGTTAGCTGTTACTTCCTCCCTCAGTGCAAGATCTCACACTTTTGATTGTATGAGAAAGCATAAAAAACATAAAAGCCATATGCATGAGTTAAGAGCGTAAGTAATTCAGATATGGCATGTTGCAGGGCTATTCAATCCTTCCCTCTTTTGTAAATCTTTTATTGCCTTTTCTATTGAATCATTTTCCTGTACCAGAAAAAGTACTCTACTTAAAACTAATCTCTACTGGGAATGTACTTCATAATTGAAAAAGAGAGTTACTGGTGCTTTATTTTACTTCTCTTAGGTTTTCAAGCAAATTTAGAAGAAACGAGTTTAATTTCTTCTCCTAAAAAATATAATGAGGCCTGAATAGTACTGTCTGCTTCTGTCTTACAGAGCAGCTCCACGTATAGAACTCAACTCGCTCGGGAAACTGGACCAACACACACACAGCCCTTCTATTACTCAGGATCCTAGGTCAAGGCAACATGAGTTGCAGTCTCTCTCTCTGCCTCCCTCTACCCCTCTCTTTCTTTCCTTTCCCTTCTCTTCCTCTCATTCAGTAACTTCAGAGCAGCTGTATGTTATTCATAGGAAGGAAAAGCCCACGACACAGCCACGTACTATGATAGACCTTCAAAGTCAGACTAAAGATATTGGCCTTAAATAATGAGTGTCCTTAAATAAATTCTTTAACTTTTAGAGCCTCAGTTTCCCCACTTGTAATATGGCACAGGGATGAGATTAACTTCACAGATTTGTCCGCAGAGGTGTAGACGTGAACACAGTGAGCCCCGGAGAGCCTCAGCACAGCACCTGGCCTAGAGGAAGCATCTGAAAAACGGTATTGTTGGAAGTAACCATCTGGCTGGGGAACTCTAACAGGGCTACTCCTTTGCTTTTTCAGGAAATCATCCTGAAGAGAGCAGCTGACATTGCAGAGGCCCTCTACAGTGTCCCTCGCAACCACAACCAGCTCCCAGCCCTCGCCAACACCTCGGTCCATGCAGGCATGATGGGTGTGAATTCGTTCAGTGGACAACTGGCCGTGAACGTCTCAGAGGCATCGCAAGCCACCAACCAGGGTCAGGAGCCTGCTCTTTTCTTCCCCCTTTTTCCCTGACAAAGCCCAACCTCATGCTCTACCTTGACATAAAACAATTTTTTTATTTAAAATTTTTTTTCTTCTCAACAAGAGGATTTCTAGTTTGGGTGTGTCAGATATGGTTTCAGGATTTTATTTCTAGTTCTCTTGTCTGGAAATCTGGACGGGGGACTAGAAAGGATGCATGCATTTAGCGTTCTGTACATTTGACTTTTCCCCATAAACCACGAGCGATGCATTCCACAGAGGGTTGGAATTAAAGTTCTGAGGGCCCACAGCACATCCCTCTGGCCCCTGGAATAGAAACCTGTTAACTCCAGGTACATCTCTTAGACTGGGATTTATGTCTTCTCCAAAATGATAATTTATAGGCCCTGCATTGCCACTTCTCATGCCCCTGCTAAGTATTTATGATCTCTTAAGAAATGTGTCTTTTGCTCGCTTCCCATTTTAATCAGAGAGCTAGCACCAACAACCACACACATGAATCACCCAATCCCTTTCCTCTGCATTTGAGGAAAGGGACAAGAAACAATCCTTCCTCTGCCTGAGTCTGCCAGGCTTGCCACCATAGAAACACCACCCTCACCCTTCATTTTGTCCCCACCCTCAGGTTTCACCCGCAACTCAAGCAGCGTGTCACCGCATGGGTACGTGCCGAGCTCCACCCCCCAGCAGGCCAACTATAACTCTGTCACCACAAGCATGAATGGGTACGGCTCTGCTGCCATGTCCAATTTGGGCGGCTCCCCAACTTTCCTCAATGGCTCAGCTGCCAACTCGCCCTACGCCAGTAAGTAGATGTGTGTTCTGTGTGTCCTTCCCTTTCCCCTGGGAGAGCTGCTTGCAGTGCATGCTGTGGGACCTACCCTCTGGGCTCCTCTGTCTGAGGGTCCCCATCCTGCAGGGCACTCCCTTGTCATGCTGCTGACATGGCAGTGACCTCTGAGCTCCCAGCTTTTGCTCACACCCCATAGTGTCATCTCAATACTCAGAACTTTGTTGGAACCAGAAGCAGGCCCAGGAGGTCATGCCAAGCACCATGCTTACAGTCAATGCCTGCTTCTGTTAGTTACTAACTGGAAACCCAGACAAATTTGTCTTCCCCAAGCCTCAAAAATCAGCACCTGCCACGATACAGTGCTGCAAGATGCAGATATGATACTGGTTCTGAGGCCTGGCATATGACAAACAAGTTCAGAAATCTAAGTCACAATCACAGTGCTCTAAAGATAATGTGTAGTGATGCTATGGTGCAGTACAGCAGTCTGGCACTTATCTCCCCTCAGGGAATTGGGTGTCATTATGCTTTAATGCCTAGAGTTTTCTTCTTTATATTCAGAGTGTTCTTTAAAATTTTTTAATTGCTTTTCCCCAAAACTCTGGCAAGACAAAATACACACAGCAAATATTATTTGGTGCCTTGTCCTTGTATAAAAGAAGTTTAGCTAAAAGGGTGTATTCGGGTACATTTAGATTGTATCTAAAGAAGTTCAGTAAATTGTCATCTTTATGTATAAAATACATCTGAAGAACCTCAGCAGACTAGCATGTCTCTATAAAGTGTTGTGAGTTGTGTTCTCACAACCTTTTAATTTCCTTTTGAGAACTTTTACATATGTAACCAAGTTCATTTTGGATATGGTGAGGACTCTACTGCTAAGTAAAATGTGGTCAAACTCAGAGATATTTGTAGAAAGTCAGAAGATACGTTGTTCAGTGAAAGAATATTCATGATTTTTAAAAACTAATCTTCGCTGAAATTATTAAAAAATTGAAATTGTCTTCCATGGTGCAAATGCAAAGTGCATTAATCTTTTCAAAAAGGAAATGTCAATTTTGGCTTTTAAGAGTTAGTTCTGAAAGTATACATAGAGCTGTTTACTTTCTGGGTACATTTTCTGCTCAGGGTGTGCTAAATTTTATTTTTGTAATTTAATTTGTTCGGAACCAGCAGAGTGTTGAACAATTGAAATTCCCCAAATAATCTGCATATATCACGTCTATCTACTCGAAAGTCAATGTTTAGGGTTAGTTTCACATTAGATCCTGATTTATTGAGAGATTGTTTCTCATAGATCTATCATTTTGTGTTCTCCCATCTGTTCAATCAGAAAATGTTTCAATCATGACCTGAAAATTAAAAGGTGACATTCTTAATTAAATCAATAAGCTAATTGCTATATGGTAGCAATTCAATTTAGGGGCTTGGATTGGCTCTCTTTTCAAGCCCGTGCAGACATCCAGTGACTTCAGCCTGAGATTGCATCTGTCAGACTGTGAAACTTCGAACATTTAATTTCCATTAATTGATTTCCTCAGCGCTCACAAATATAGTATTAAATTCTCAAATAGGCCCTCAGATGGGACGGTTTTATCTGCATAAATGCAAATAAAACAATAAACACAAAGCCCAGCTGATTTGAATTTTTGCCTCTGTAATATTTAATTATTCATAAACCAATCATGTTGAAAAATTCCAACAGAATAAAAAATAGAATAAGACATTCTACTGGTGAACACACTTTCCAGTATAGAGGCTGATAACTAATAACGTTATAACGAATGGGGCTGCTAGACTATATTTCACCCCTTTCTCTGTTAACCACCCCTCCGAGCTCCTCACCTCTAAATACACATAATGATCACATTTGCCAACGAGATTAATTGCCTTCCTCAGCGAACCAGCAGGATTTCAAGTCTACGAATACTTAAAAATCAAATCTCCAGTGCAGGAGTTTTGCAATTTAAATGGGTGTTATTATTGAGCGTATTTTCACATTTACAAATCCTAAGAGATGTATAAAAATGCTAGCCTCATTAAAAGAAAGTACAGTTTAGAAAATGTTTGCACAAACTCTGAGGATGTCAGCTCTGTGTTCTGCTCCATAAAGCATTCAGTGTGATTCGGTTGGGTAGCGCCTTGGGCCGAGGACAAGGGGTCATTTCCCCCATGGCAGGTGCTGCCTATGACCAATTTGATTCCCACTTCTCTGAAATTCCAAAGCCAATAGGCCAAGGATTAGGCTACCCAAATAGTTTGCTGAACTCTGGTGGGCTCAAGGGAAGGGGACTTTCTTGATTAGAAAGCATTGCATGTTTTGCTTCCTGGCCTAGAAAACACAGAGGAGTGTGGATCTGTGTTCTGCTCCATGATGTGCTCAAGTGAGCATGTTTATTTTGGGTTCAGTCTTGGGTTGACTAGAAGGGACCATTTCCCCTGATGGAAAGTGCTCTCTCCCATGCCTAGCATACTACTCTACTAGGAACCTGGAACACATACGTGTTAAGTACTAACTGATGAAATGGACAGAGCCCAAGAGCTCAGGCAAGGTTCGAGAGAGGGTGGGATCTGAGTTTCCTGTCTCCAGATGCCACAAGGAGTCCTGATTTTCTTTTCCTTTCCTTTGTCTCTCAGTTGTGCCATCCAGCCCCACCATGGCCTCGTCTACAAGCCTCCCCTCCAACTGCAGCAGCTCCTCTGGCATCTTTTCCTTCTCACCAGCCAACATGGTCTCGGCCGTGAAACAGAAGAGTGCATTCGCACCTGTCGTCAGACCCCAGACCTCCCCACCTCCAACCTGCACCAGCACCAATGGGAACAGCCTGCAAGGTATGCCCCAGGCTGAGCAGCCTATCCAGGTTCTGGGGGTTCACCTCCCAGGGCCCAGAGTAGGTGCTCGCTGTTGCTAAGTGGATCAGCCTTCGCCCTGGCTGCTTCTCTGTTTTGTGTTCCCTCTCCTCGGTACTGGCCACTGGTCCTACTTACTGATCCCTGCTCTGCTGAAGCTGCCTGAGCAATTCTATTTCCAAGTCCAGCAGTTCTGCTCACGCCCAAGGTTTGCTTTGACATTTTCATTGACTCAGGCCGTTGTTTCTTTTTAGTCCTCTGTCACTTCCCACTGTCACCATTATCAGACTTGTCTTCTGTGAACTCTAGCAAGTTCTTCAGTGCAGGATGTCTCCTGGGACTGGCCTTCCCTTCCTGTCCCTGTACGACAACAAATGTATACAGGGCTGATAACTGATAGAGTAGGCTGCAACCCAGTCAGAGCCCCAAGGTTAAGACATCATACACCAAAGATCTACTGTCCACGACCAGAGATCTACTGTTCACGACCAGAGACCCTAGAACAGCTCTAATATATTCTGATTAATAGGAAAATTGCCCAAGTGCTTTCCTAACTATAGAATATGGGAAGTAACAGAGTCATTAAGCCTCCAGGTGACCTTTTCATTCTACCCTTTAAAAATGAAAGAAATCCAGCCTTTAAAAGTGGTTCCACTGTTTCTCCATTGTTCTCAGGTACTTGGCCTGGCTCATGGTGTCAGCCTGCACAGCCTCCACCGTTCCCCTCAGCAGGGCTGTGTGGAGCCACTCACTGCCCCTACCTTAGAGATGAGAAAACGAAAGGCTGGAGGGGGTGCCTGGCTCTCAACAGCTGGCGTGTGGCAGAAGATAGCTTCAAAGTCGGGCTCAAAAATGCATCTCCTCTTTCCGTCGCCCAAGCACTTTATTACTCACAGGGGGTAAAGAGGACACATCCCAGATGCCCAAAGCAGCCAGCAGGGAAACAAGATCAATAAAATAATCAGCCACTGAACAGTGTCAGGTTCTGTGTTAAACATGGAGTTAGCTTTATGTGATTTAATCCTCATGACTTCCTGATGAAGTAGGAAGGCTTTCAGGATCACCACCCTACAGATGATCAAAGGAGGCTTTGGGCAAGTGCCTGTCACAGATGGAGCTGGCCAGTGGAGAGGAATGTGAACCTGCCAGGGTCTGTGCCCTTACCTGCTCCCCTACAGTGCTCCCCATGCTGCCTCTGTCACGAGGCAGCATGTCACACAGAGAGGTCACCTACGGAGGCCAGGGAGGGGTCAGGAGGGCAGTGACACCTCTGGGACTTCCCAGTCCAGTTCATGTGTGCAGACGCATACAGGTTTACACTCACATGCACAGATTGTGCTGGATGCTTTACGAGGATGTAAGCACACACTGATCCTCCTCAGGACTGTGTGAAGTCAGCACCGTTCCCATTGTAGAGAAGGGAAAGTTAAAGCTCAGTTTGCTCAAGGTCACCCTGTAAATGATGGGGCCAAAATAGACCCTCACCATTTGACTTCAGAGCCTGAGCACTTTATCACTCTCCCTCGCTGCTGCAGAGCTTTTCAAAACATTCCTCAGAAACCTGCTGGCAAATCTGCCTGGCACAGCAAAGTCAGTGCCCAGCATAGCACCCCGATGCTCTCATTGGCCAATCCATCTTCTTCGAGGAAAGAGAGAAATAATCTGATTGTGGAACTTGATTTCAGGCAGTGTTACTTGTGGTAGGAAATGCCCACCCCCCCACAAAGGGGAGCCACCCATTCATGCCAGTATGATTCTTTTCAGCTAAAAATAATGCGTTGTCACCCTCCCTATACCTCCAGCTGGCACACTAGGGGGAGAATGCTTAAGCATCCATGCCTTGTAGCTGTGTTATGCTATAGTAATGCGTATGGGAAGCAGAAATTTACCATTCTTGAGCTGCCAGTCTCAATCCTGGCTTAAAGTTGACTTGGCCTGAGGAGCAAGATGTAATGGGGTATTTAAGGGTTGTCCCTGCTACTGGAAGGTCCACAGCTGTATCACTATCCACGGTGAGGTCAAATGTCATCATGCCATGTGGACCACTGGGAGGAAGAAGGGTTGAGGATGGGGGGCTGAGCCCAGGCTGCAGAGCCTCCTGGGTTTTAGCAGATCTAGAATTGGAAGGGTATGTGTGCTTACGTAGCAATGCAAAGGCTTCAGACACATAACACAATTTGTGCTTTTGTCCCTTACAGCTTGTGCAACCCAATTCTAACTCAATTACAGATTCCAAAAGTAGAGACAGTTCCCTGCCTCTCCTTAGCACCCGGGTGTCTTCTCCCATGTTTTCTTTCTAACATAAGGTATAGGGCCTGGAGGGCTTGGGGTGTGACTTCAAGACACACTTAGTACCGGATTTGCTGTTGTGGTCGACCCTGCCCTCCTGCCCTCCTCTTCCAGTTGGACTAGTGATGAAGAGATGCTCTGATTGTTGAGCATGATCAAAAGAAAGAAAAAAGACATTTATTGTTTTTTGAATTTCTATCATGTGCAAACATGAGTGGGAATATGAATATAGAAGTTAAAGCCGGATTAATGAGACATCTCACTTCCTGCCTGCTCCGGCCCAGCCTCTGTAGTCATGGGGCGAACCCCCACGGGAACTGCCCGTGCCCCTATGTGTGCCATCACAGGCACAGTCAAAAGGACTGACTCAGGCTGAGGCGAGCATCACATTTTGCAGTCAGGAGCTTCTGCTTGGGTCTTGGGGGAAAGTGACATTCTAGCAATGAGCTCCAGCCTTGCTTCGTCTTTAGCAGTTTGGACTTGACTTTTGCTGTTCACAGGGGACCTAGGAGGGTAAGGCTCACTGAAGCGTTTTATTCCTCCTCTTCCTCCTCCGCAATAGTACAGTGGCACCTACTTCACTGGGACCCAACTAGATCAGAACTGTGATCATTAAGACAGGGCAAATGATGAAGGAAGAGTCGGTTAAGCAAATTGACCATGTAAACAAGATTAGAGGTGACACACTTAGACTGTTCAAGTATTTTAAAGGCCTATTTACCTCCAACTACCACTCTGTTAATTACACATCATGCTTTTTTTTAAGCCCACTCCTTACCGACCTCTTCACCAGCAGTCTTTTACTTAGCTTCCTCTCAACACAGCACTGCAGGTATGCACAGCCCAGGATAGCCAGTTCCAGCCGGGCTTCTGATGGTCACATGTGTCCTTCCAACCATCTATTCTCCCCATTTTCTGGATGTGGAAACTGTGACATAGAGATGGTTTTTCCAGGGTTACTCAGAAGAGAGGGAAGCCAGGCATGTAAACCCTACACACACACTTGCCTGTCTGTGCCTTCCCCTACGGCTGTGCCATGCTGTCTTTAGGCCAGTTGGTCAGGCCCATGGGGACCACAATATCCCACATATAAGGGAAGATGGGACATCAAAGTCAGCACATCCATCAGGAAAGGCAGAGCACCCAGCTATGAATATGCTGAGGTGGGAAAGGTTAAGGGGAACCCAGAGCAGAGCAGCTTCACATTAGCAGCTGCCTTGAAACTCTCTCAGACAAAGGACAAGCAGGATTGGAGCACAGGGGCATGGGGAAGAGGGCATTTGAAGCAGAAGGGCTAAGAACAAGCCAAGCCAAGAAGCAGAGGCAGGCAAGTCTTAGACAACGTGCGGTAACCAGTATGTAGCTCAGCAACCACAGTGCAGGTGCCAAGAAGCAAGGAGAAGGGTGGAAAATAGAGTCAGTTCCACTCCTCTCTGTGTAGTTTATAACTTACAAGTTCTACTGTGATCCCAACTGGCTGTGCCTCCCAGGTAGATAACACCTTTGAAAGTCTACCACATTTCCAAAGCATTAATTTAGGACAAAGTAACTTTCAGAGCCTCACAGGATGTTCTGTTCAAAAAAGTCAAAAGTATTATGGTCCAGCAAATTTAGAAGATGGTGCTTACTGAACTACTGTCTATGTACAAAAGCTTGTTAAAGGTGCCGAGAAATCTCATAATTAAATAGCAATGGCTAAAGTCATTGCTCAAAATCCACCGAGAACTGCTTTAAGGACCCCCATGCAGACCAAGATCCACAGGTGTTCAAATCCCTTATATAAATGGTGTAGGATTTTCTGTCCTACATATCTTCCCACATATTTTGAATCATCTCTAGAGTACCTATTACCGAAAACAATGATGCAGTGTAAATGCAAAGCAAATGCTGTTATACTGTATTGTTCAGGGGATAATGACAAGAAAAAAAATCTTTACATGTTCAGTACAGATGCAGTTTGCTTTGAATTTTTTCAATTTTTAAAAGATTTTTTTACTTTAATCATCCACTGCATTAATAGTAATCGTATGTATGAGGTACAACATGGCATTTCTGTATATGTATGTAATGTTTAATGATCTGATCAGAGTAACTGGCATATCTTTTACCCCTCATATTCATCATTTCTTTGTTAGGAATACGTCAAACCCTTTCTATGTTTACCTTGAAATACTCAGTTGTTGTCAGCCACAAGTTACCCTGCTTCTTACTATACAGCACTACAAGTTACTTGTTCTATCCACCCCCATCTTCCCTCCATCCTCCCTCTCCAACCCATTCCCTTCCCAGCCTCTGGTAACCACAACTGTATTTTCTACTTCTATGGAATCAACTTTTTAACTTCATTTTACAAAGCTTTGTATTTGATATTAATTGGTCTTAACATGTTGAAAAGGACTATGTAGGCAAATTTAGCAAACTAAATGGAATACAATTGCCCTTCCTAGCCATGACTTAGGTATCTGCAAATTCAACCAACCACAGATATAAAATATCTGGAAGACATTATATTAAGCAAAATAAACCCAGCACAGAGAGACGAATGTCTACAAGCTTCGGGAAAAGCAGCTGTATGTTGAATTGAAAGATGAACATGCAGAAAACCCTCCTCCTATTCTTATATAGATGGAGCTGTTGATAAATCCTGACCCTAGACCCCAAGCGCATTGTTGTTTTTTTTTAGGACAAAAACTTGAGTCACCAATTATGCTCAGCCTTTGTCCATAGAAACACCCTCTCTTCTCCTAGAGCCCTTATGGACCTCAGAGCATGGTTTCTACATGAGAGGCTTCATCCATCAAGAGAGGCAGCCCTAAGAAAGTGGCACATGCACTGAACCCCACTAATACAATTCTAAATCTTAGCCATATCCTGGGCAATCTTTGCAATGAAAATATTAAAAAACAAAAGGCAGAGGGTACAATGCCAGGAAATACAGTGGTGTCTCAGTTCACAAGCTTAATTTGTTCCACAATTTTGGAAAAGGTGGCATGTTTGTATTTGTGTGGGAAAGATGGCTAGAGTCCTGTTTGTGACCCAATGCAGAATTTGCAAAAAAAAAAAAAAAATTACCCAAACCAAATTGTTCACAAAAACATTCATGAATCAAGGTACCACTGAAATATGTATAGTGTTTCTTTTCTCCACCTTCTTGAAGCTCAGATTGCCCATCTCCTCTTGAGCCTCAATAGCATACATTCTAGTACCAAATGCTGTGAATGTTTTCTTTCAGGTACATATCAGTTTGGGTAAGATCTCACCCCATGTCTTATAGCACATTTGGTCCCTGACTCACAATTCTTATCTATGTGGTGGATTGTGGAAGAATATATTCCACCCTCTCATCCCAAGATCTCTCAGCTCTGCCAAGCATTTCCTTTTTGGCTTTGTTCTTATTAATAAATTCACTAAATTCTTAAATGAATTTCCTTTCAAACCAATAACTTTTTGGGTTTCACCAGAGAATGTGATCACCAGCTGCCGGAGAAAGTGGCAGAGCCGCCCGGTCTTGTCTCGGCACGCGGTGTTGAATGTGGCTTCCTGATGGGAATCTTTCGGGGTTCTTCATGGGCAGCATAGCAGACCAGTGGCATTCTTAGAGCATTCCAAGGCTTAGGCACTGTCCTTCTTGGCCCCCCTGATTAATTTTCAGATTGCAAAACAGATGGAAGAAGAGGGGGAACACAACGAAGTAGGATTTCCTTATTAAAGGTGTCTTTTGAGGCACCTAGACAGAAAGGCCAGTATGAGTGATCTTTGCCGAAAATTTACCTATTTTCTGCCTTCTGAGTTGCAGTTATAAGATTTGTTGTAATTTTCTGATATTACATATTTAGAAAAATTCCTTCTGCAAAGGGGTTCCATGGCTCCCACTAGATCACCCCAAATATTCTGGCAGGCAACCAAGAAGAGATTGGAAACGGAGCCAGGCCAAATCCATCCCAACGGTTCCTCAGATATACTATATATATTTGCTTTTAATATTGATTATTTGCTATCATGGATAGACTGGGTTATTTCAATCTTTTCAAAAATGAAAATCTTTATATCCCACTTAAAGTAATCCGGAAGTGTTGGGGGCTGTGAGCAGGATTCTTGTCCAGCAGCCTTTGGGGGAAGCTGAGATACTCCTGTGCACACTGCAGCACCGGCAGCATCCCCTTCGTCCATATCCCAGGCTCTCTGCTCGCTTAGGTGCCCAGCCTGGCCTCTTCAGTCACTGGAGTTTGTGATCCTGTTTTCCATGTTAAGCAGTGCCATCAGCTACATCTGTTTTTCTTTGCTTTTGAACTTTCAAAGTGACCCTAAGTTTGAATCTAACATATTATTCAGGTACCAACACACTGTTAGAACTTAAAAATAGGAAAATACTGGTCCTCCAAATGAAATGGTTTCATGGCTTAGATGATAAATGCTGGCTAGGCCCAGGCACCAAATTAGTGGGAAGCTTGTCAGCCTTTTACTTTGCTGTGAATCATATGGGAACTGCCCTTTCATGCAGGGCCCAAAGAGCAGGTTCAGGAGAAGACAAGACTTGCTTCTTCTGTGGCCACTGGCTTCCAGCTCCCGCTGTGTGTAGTCAGGGACCCTCAGGATGCACAACCTCTGCGGGATGCCACACTGCAGGGACCTCAGCCCTCCTTCCCTTTGGAGCTACAGTGTCTTGAGTTCGCAAGTTAAAGCAGGGACTGAAATACTGAGTTCCCCATTTCAGGCAAATCTAGGGTTCACTTGGATCTTTGGAGAACTGCATTTCCAACTGATCCCAAATCTTTGGGGATTTAAATTGGTCAGCATTTGGCCAAAGATAACTTCCTGTTTCTAAGAAAAAAAGTGGTATGGGGGGTGTCCTTGGAAGGTTTATGAAAAGGACTCCAGGAGCTTTTGGACTGCGAAAACGGCTCTTGCAAAACAGCATTTGGATGATTTACGTGCAAATGAATCAGAAACATGTGGATTGAATTTCCTTGTGAATACAGATGGGTTTAAAAATTAACGGAAAAAGTGTTTGGCCAGATCCTTTTTGGTTTTTGTTTTAATTGAATCTAAAATGTCGGTTGGGGGGTAGGAAAGCAGAAAGAATGTGGGGCCTCAGGGTTCAGAGCCCAACCTGGCCTCCCTGAGTCCATGGCAGGATTGGTGGTAGGGTAGTGGGGTTCACTCCCCAAAAGGCACCTTCTTCCGGGCCTGATGGCTGATACATGAAGAAGGTCACTTCCTGGACACACTCATCACTGACGAGGATATTAATTGAAGCTTAGACTTGCCATTTAAAAGAAAGCAATCTCTTTCTTTTTTTCCTGTCCCTGCCTCAGAGGATGCGAACCCATCTCTGTGAGCCAAGAACGGCTGCCTCTTGCTTCTAATGGACACATCTTGCTTCCTGTGATCTATTTAGAGTTGCCACACTGTTTTAATTCCTTCACAACTATTGCCTTATTCCACAAATCTGTCAGGTGGGATAGTGCCTCACTGACAGAAGAGAAACCTAGCCCAGAGAAGTTACACAGTGAGTGCAGGTCACCCTGGAGCCAAGTGGAGGCTTAGCAAACCTCGGGGCTAACCTATCTCAGGTCCTTCCTAGGAGCCGAGCCCAGGCTACTCCCGTGACACCTGTTACTTTATTTAAACTCCAGTCACCCGAGTGCTGGTTCTGGCTGAGAAGGCTGAGGTCCAAGGAACCATCTCAGGGGAATGAACTCAAAAGCAGAGGACCAGAGGTGGAGCCCTGGCCTATCCCATTCCCTGCGGTCTAAATACTGCCGGGGCCTCCGGACTCCAGGTCTCTGACAGCATCCTGCTCACCTCAGACAGCCTCGGCTCATCCCAGGACCTCACTTCTTTCCTATGCTACGGTTCTCCATCAAACTTGGTCAGATTTTTCTAGAAACCTTGAGTGAAGCAGTGGTGGGGAAGATATTCTAGGGTGTCATGCAAATCTGTGTTCAGTTCTCACCCCAAGGTTTTCTCCCAACTTTCTATGCCCAGGGAGCAATGGCTGCTGCCTCTGGCGTTTCCTTTTCTACTTTGGGACCGAAGTAGAGGCGATGGATGGATACCACCATTGCTCACTTTTCCTCCCAAATAAATTGCACAGCGAAGGCTATATTTTTCTTATTTTTCTTTTCTTTTTTTGCGGATTACTGGCAGTTGTAATGAGCCAGCCAGTTCTCTGTATTTTGGGAGGTGAAAGGGAGGGAAAGAAGAATGACAAACTGAAAATTCTCACTATTTTGCAAGGTTTGAGGCTGCCACTTTCCCAACGGCATTCAAACTATGCAACTTTCTCATTATATTTTAAAATTGAGATCAGGTTTAGAGGGATATTTAGGATATTCTGCTCTGTTAAAGACGTATACGGCACATATATTCGGTAACAAAAATTCATTCCCAAGAAGATGAGAACACATCTGTGGTTAATATTTAATCAACATAGTCATGCATGGGTCTTTTTATTTTTTCTCAGCGAGCTGCTTCTATGCAAAAACATTGACTTCTTTCTTTTTCCACAGCGATATCTGGCATGATTGTTCCTCCCATGTGAAAGAATTGCCTTGAAGAATTTTATTAATGAAGAGGTTGGATTCTGCTACAAGAGTAATCTGATACAAGTCCCAGAGTGGAACTTTTAACTCAGGCCTTTTTAAGAGGAATCACAATAACTGCAGATTTTTAAACAAACAGAAATCACCGACTTTACAAATACTGAGATTGGAAGGGATCTGCAAGTGCAGGGTGTTGTTTAAAGCTGTGCCTCCCAAGTATTGGGGGGATATATTTATTCTGTATTCATAAAAGCAAATCCACTTTTTCTTTCTCTCTTTCTTTTTTTTTTTAAAGGCTTAACTCTGCAATCATTTGTCTTTTATAAACCGGAAAGCTAGAACCCAAGGGACACTATAAATAAGACTCCATGTTTTAATTTATGATGTTTTTAAAGCTGTGTAAAGGGAGAATGAAGTGGTGATATTTACAAAAAAGTGAAAAAAGAAAAAAGAAAAAAAAAAAAAAGCTTGTATGGGACAGAATAGGAATGCCAGTTAGATTTTTTAGAAAACTAAGGGTCGGCTTTTGCGCCTTAAAGCATATCAAATGGTAGATAGCTCAGACTGCATTTTCAATATCTAACTTAACATGCCATCCCTTAGCTGTGCAAGCTTCTTTATCTCTTTTGTATTGTTGTCTTAAGTAACTGTGTAAATAAATGCAGCCTGGAACGTTAAAAAGTGATGTAAGTCATTACGTTTTTCCCTCCTACTCCAAAAATCCAGTGCCTCTAGACAGATTATTAAAAACTGCATATTTAAATCTGATGTCATTCTATCTTTTACGTACGTCATCTTCTTCTGAAGCCAATGGCCTCTCAAGAGCGTGGTGGCACACAAGCTGTGTGAGAATCTCGTTGAGACTTCACGGAACAGGGTCCAGGCACAAGAATTCCATACTGCCTCCAGTTATCCAGCAAAATCTTACTTATGCTCCACCATCCATAAGTCCAAAGTTTACTCATTCTAAAATTCTAAATGCTGACTTTATACCAATACTCCGAAAATCCCACTAAGCAACCTGGCAGGTATTTTGATTTTCCCATTCAAGATAGGGTCTCTGTCAGTCGACCAACCTTTACATCATGTATAACATAATAGACTAAAACAACAGGTTAAGTGCTTTGGAATGAAGAGTTAAAGGAAACCGGGGGTAAGGAGAAGGCTGAAACCTCCAAACAGTTTTCTGTTCTATGGGAATTTTTGCTCTCATTAACTGAGAAGTGTTCTTAAAAATAAGAATTAATAGCAAAGATACAGCAAAGCTCTTAGGATGCATTTGCCTGATTTTTTTTCTTTGCTGTTGTGTTTTTGTATGTAGTTATAAATATTGTAGATTCTTTTGTGAATTTTTTTGCCAAAGTTGTTGTTCTATTTATACATTTTAATGTCTTAAGACGGTTTTCCAATCTTACAAAAAGATTTTACTGCATATTTTGCAAAAAAAAAGGAAAAAAAAAAGCTCACTACCTTTAGCTTGCACATATTTGCAATGTTAATTAAAAAGACTTTTTGTTTTAATGGGAATTTTGTAAAATATCCATATAAATAATGTATTTATCTTTGGAATTTGTACATTGCTTTTCCCTCTTCTTCTTCCCACCCCTGGTTTATTTTATTGTGTATGTTTGCTATGTGAAAGTGCGTATTTGTTTGGTCACCTACAGTTGTATTAGTTGTTTCAATGTGATTTTTAAACATTTCATTTATAGTTACTGTATTTTTAGTATTGTTTTAAACCATGCTTCGATTTTTTTTTATTTCCACCCAAAAGCCATTGTCTATTTTTGTATTATTTGTAAGTTAAGAAGTTTTTTCCAATATATGGCAAAAAATAGTAGCCTATTATTCTTGTAGTATTTAGTTCTGTAGATTAAAAAAATGTATCCTTTGCTTTGGAAGCTTACACAAAACCTAACGCTGTTTTACTCTATTAATATGCATGGAATCTCTCCCTTTGAGTGACGCATTTTGTGCATTAAATTCGGGGGAGAAACTTCATAGAAATCAATGAACATACTTTCTTTCTTAAGTCTGCTTGTATATTTCCTCTGTCTTTCACATAAATATAAACCAGCAGATTGGATGCCTTAACAATGCAAAGCATATTCATTTCACTTGTACATTGTAACTGTGCACCGGAACTGTCAGTCATCACTAACATTCTAAGAAAAAAGAAAAAGAAAAAAAAAAAAAAAAAAAAAAAAAAAAGAGAAATTGAAAAGCACAAAAGAACTGTTTTGTTACCTTAAGACAATGTAACTTTTCTAGTAGAGCAAGAAATCATTTACAACAATGCTGCAACCGTGCATGCCCCATATGGATTTCGCAATGGTTTCACTAGACTGTCAAGAGTACGATTTTTATGAGGTGGGGCGGGTGGGGGAGGGGAGCGGCGGGGTGGGGGAGGCGGGAGGGATGAAAGCTGATTTTTCATGGTGAGAAATAATGATGAATAATAACAATAAACTGGAAAAATGTAAGCCAGGTTTAGCATTGCTTCTCAGTACTCAGAAAGAGTGACTGAATTCGTGTGGTAAGTGCTGGCCTGAAGATGTATACAATTTAAAGCCATATTTTGTCTGGTGATGCCCCTGAACTGTTGGCAAAGGAATTAATGGTCAAGCCGGTGCCCTGCCCGGCTCAGGCCCTGACGAAAGACGCCACCAATCTGTTAGCCATGTGCCATGGTGAGAATCTTCTTGAAAGTCCAAAGAGCCTTTAAAATGTGTATAATTTGTGTTTTGTTGCTTCTATTTCTATTGATTAGATGGAAAGATATTCCGGCCCTCAAATCCTGTTTCTCCTACACAATAGTTTTGCAAGTTCCTTTCATATTTGTCCCCCTCAATACAGAATATGGCTTTAAGAAGGAAGTGAGGTAGAGAATTAAATTGAGATTTCAGTTTTGGGGGAAGAATAGAATTTCTGGATGACTGGATTGCATACCATGCCCTGGCCTCGTATTGTACTAGGATGCAGCTTACTGAAGTCATCTCTAAATCTACTAACCTTTCACCTTCTTATCAAAACTTTTTGAATAGACACACACTGTACAGTTCAATTGTTAGAGAACCTAACTACTGTAGAGATTGTTATAATTTTTTTTTTTTTTGCAAAAATTCAAGCTGTAAAAACTTTTCAACTTTCACGATATTTAATTAAAGTTACTTCCTGTCTGTGATGGGCCCTCTTGGTTGTGTATTCATTTCTCTATTTCAGGTGAGCCAAAGTTCAGTGTCATCAACAGGTCTGTGTTTGCAATTACGCAGGCCCGTGTTGACACCTGGAAAAAAAGTCTGAAGGTAGCCCTGGGGCACCCAAGTTTTTTCTTTGTAGGTCCTTGGGGATTTGCTCATCTGGGATGCAAATTGAACACACGCAGCGCATTGCTGCCCTCTGCTGGCCGCAGCCGAATGTACATATACCTGTGCTGGCCCACTGGAGAGCCAGGAGGAGCCCCCAACAATTCCATCAGACAGAGAGATTCCTCACTGCAGCGATTAAATTGTGAACCCCGGAGCTGGTCATTCTAGAAAACGGTCCTCTATGCTACCAGTCTGAACCAAACCTTTTCACATATAGCTGCTAATTAATCCCATTGAGCCTTCTGGTCAATTAATTATGTACCCTGGCTCATTGACTGAGGCATGTGTGAACTTAGAACCTTCTATCACTTGCATTTTTTAATCTCCTGTGTATAAAATACTTTTCCTGTCAGAAAAAAACCCACATTTATCTAGAGTCAAACATCCCACAAACACCCAGTAAGCACATACTCTTGTAAAGTTGTTTCCTTTTAGGTTTCATTAAAAAATTGCACAGAATATTCTTTTGCTACCTTTGCAATTATTGGACATGATAAGCTTAACGATGCTTGTAAAAATGCCTCGAAACCTCAGCAAATAGGCCCTAGACCAATAGAAGCTTGACAGCCAGAGGTAATAGATGTCACATGGCCGTCACCACCATTTATGATGCCCCTTGCTGATTGATAAACTTTGGCTGTGGAATGTAATCCAACTTGAGGTCATCAAAAGGCATCAAGTTAATAAGTAAATAAACTGCCATTTTTTTTTAAAAGAGGCTGATTAATTTGGTCATCAGTATGGTTATGAAATTCTGCATTACACACAATACACAAATCGAGTGCATGGCTCCTGTCCGCAGGGCGTTTGTAGTCTCAAGCAAGACAAACTTAAATTCAAGGCCTGCTAGAGTAGGGTGGTTAGACAGGGCGAGGCAGGATGCTCTGCTCCTCCACAGGACAAAACTGCCCACCATGCTTATGCCCCCCTCTTGTCCATGCTCATTCATTCATTCTTTCTTTCATGCATTTATTCATGTAAACCTTGAGTCCTCACCGTCCCTCCGGCACCAGATGATACACGATGGATAACTAGGACGCTGTCATTGTCCCTACTCTTTTGGTGCTTGTACTTGAATAAGGCAAACGGAAGTTAAGCGGCCACACATGCGCATTTAACCAACTAACACTGGCGTTGCAGGAAGTCTGGAATCTCAGATGATGCACTACAGCGGTATCTGATTTAACCTGAAGGGCCGGGCAAAGCTCCCCTACAATGTGGCAGCTGGGCTGAGATGTAGAGGATAAGCGGGGTACCCTGAGCATGGGGAGTGAGGGTGGTGCCAGGACTCTGAGGTTTGGGGTGGATACAGGGCATTTAGTATGGGGAGTCTGTGAGTAGAGGCTTGAGAAATCCAGCTCAGCTGGCGCACTGAGCACCTCCCACATGCACTGCACTGCAAATTTACAGTCCTATGTTTGTCCTCTGGGACAATGATGGGTAAAAAAAAATAATGGAGCGGTGGGTTTAGGGGGTAAAAAAGCCCGAGAGGTGGGCCTGGCTTGCTCCAGATAACTCCTCCCACACTGGAATGTGGACCTAGTGATTAAATAAATGTCTTCCATTTTCTAGAAATTTCAGATATATTACTAGATTGGGGTATGTCTTTTTAATTTTTTTATCTTTATGGCACGTACTCCTAAAAGTGCTTTAAAATACAATATAGGACAAACAAAGCCACGATCCCCTACTCTTAGATGGGCTGATATTCTGGCCAAGGGACAGGTTACCGAAGGCTGTGTTTATGTTGCCTCTGTGGTATGTTCTGTCCCTGGAGATAAAGAAATGCTATAGAGAAGGAGATGCTGAAGTGGTGCTCCCAGTATGGATAGGAGTTCTTCAAACATAGCTTGAAGGCCTGGTCACTATTATGGGAGTTGACTCTTTGAGAAAAAAAAAAAAAAAAAAACAACTATTAAAACTAAAAGTTCCTACCATAGGAGAAAGTGGAATCGTACACTTGTGGAAAAATCCTCTGTCCTCTATAGCAGTCACATTCAGTGTACAATGGATAGGTCAGCTGTATAAAAAAAAGTCTCCTTTGCCTGCAGAAAGCTCCTCATGAATGAATTCATTTTATGTAAAACTTCTGAGCAGTAAACTTTTTTGAACACACCATGCTCCAAATAATTCACACTCTCAAGAATTTTGGCATCGAAGTGACCATCTCCTCTTTCTTTAGCATCATTTATTCCCCACTACTGTAATCTGATTGGCCTACAAATACAGTCCTACCAGAAAAAAGAAAATGATTTCACTTCACTTTGCTTTCCAACTACCCACAGTCCTTCTGCTCCCTCTGAGCACACTCCAAAGAGTGGTCTTTCTTTTCTTTATATTTTCTCTTTATCCCTAGCACAAGAGATGTTTATCGTCATGATTAATAGTGGCAGTTTTACATGCTGTAAAAGAGGCATCTCTATATATGTTAGAGGTGTCATCTTGGTAGCTACAAAAGTGAACTGGAGGGGACAGAGAGGAATGAGGGACAGCTGAGAGGCCAATGGAGCGGTCCAGGCAAGAAATGAACAGCTTGGACTAGGAGAACAAGCAGGAGAAACCCAGGTAGGACTAAGGTTGGATGGGCAATGGAACCATCAGAAGTGCATGACTGGTGTGACGTGGGATTGAGGGGAAAGAAAAGCCAAGGTAATGCTCAGGTCTGTTCTGGGTTTTGGTGCTGGGGCTGGAACACAGCGTCTCTTGCGTGGCTGGCCAGGGCTTTACCACGGAGCTCAAAGCACAACGCTCAGTTCTCTAACAAGGGCAACTGTTGTTTTGGAAAGATTTGGTTTCTCTGGCTTTTTCACTAGTTCAGAGCCAACAATGAAATTCCTACCATGTTCCCTTAGCTTTCCTTTCTTATTTCAAATATGATCCTCTTCTCCAGAGGTTTCTATATTTACGTTACGAAACAAATTCAGTTTCCAAAGCTGAAAATATTTTGTTATTTTTTAACTGAAGAACGAAACAGTTTTTATTCATTTTCTCTGTAGAGTTATACTACAGTGGGACTGACTTTTTATCTACTTAGCGTATATTTCCCCCACTGATTGTAGAATTTTCACATTATATATGTAGAGCAAAAGTTCTGAACTCTGAATTAACCGCGGGCCTGATAATTGGCCTTCTGCAGGAAATACCTTGTGCCAGGAGTTATCTTGTAAAGATAATTCAGTATTTTACAAAGATGGTGATGGAATGTCAATAAAAAGCCGACCTATTGGAGGTGACTCATGCAAGAACACAGATGTGGATTAGATTGCTCCAGGAAAACAAGGAGAAATGAATGAGAACCAGGCGAAGCCATGGCCTTCTCCTCTTAAGCATTTATTTTACTGAACATGTTCTTACTGAAGACCCCCTTTGGAGAGCAGGTGCAAAGTTAAGGGTTGGGACTATGATGGTATCTGAAACTGACCCGTCTCCTTCTCCCATGACTGCCTTAGGAAGACAGGGATGACTCAACAGTTGCAGAAACACAATTACACAGGGATAAACGCTACTGTCACCCCAATACATCTGAGTGAACGGTGGCTTTACATTTGCATAGAGGCAAGCCTCGCTCAGAAGCCAAAGTCAATTAAACGGGAATCAAATTCCTTACTTGTATTCTTTAAAGGGTATTAAAAAAGAATCTAAAGTTCATAGCGATATCTATTAAAACTATATTCCTTTTATTATCCTTTCCCTCATTGCATGCCCAGCTCAGGCATTCCTTCCGCAGTCCCTCTGACCAAAAGCTCCCTTCTCTATGCTGAGTTTGCCTGGAATTTCTGTCCTCCTCCTTCTCTCCACTGCCACCTCTTTCATTACTTTGTTTTCTGAAAATCTTTCCTCTCAAACAGGGTCGGAA